GGTTCGTTTTCTTTCACTGAAACACAGACTTATCCACACCACTGCGTAAAGAGAGGAAGAGCCACACATTCAGAACACTCAATCAATTCCATTTTAAAAGTTCTTAGACTGAAAAGAGGGGAGAATTCCCTTAACAGATTTGGGCTCCTGACATATGACTTAATACAGGAGTTCCCTGGGCATCAATTAATTTCAAAAGACACAGGCTGGATTTCCTAGGCCAGTCCAACCTGTTTACATACAACTGTTCTGTGATCAAATTTCTTTAGGCTAAATCAACTTAACACTCCCCTCTCTTCCCAAAGCCCTTGGTAACACGTCCCCATTCCCCCTGCTACTGAGAGAAGGAGGAAAAGAGAGAAAGGATCCTGGTCATCTTCTGCTTTGTCTTAATGCCTTTCTGCTCTCTCTAGCCTCACGCCTTCCCACATTGGGTCAGTTAACCATTTGCCATAATAAATATTCTTAGATGAGCTCCCAACAGGCACCGTGTATATCTGTGAACTTGTTTACATATACACTCACTTTTGTACCAGTATGTGTACTAAAAATATGCATTTAGTAAGGGTCGTAAGCCAAGAAGACCTTACCACAATGCGTCATCAAATCTTCATGAAAATCCAAGAGCTGGTCTCGGATTTCTTCAGGACATGGACATTCGCTTTTGTCATCCTTAAAATTGAGAAGCATATTGATCTGAAAGTTTGGAAAAACAAAAGAAGAAGAACTAGGGTAAAAGAAAAGTGAATTCAGGAACGGCAAAAAAGATCGTAAAAACCAAAGATGTTCAGAATCTCTTTCTGAGTGTCCAGAGACTGTTGCCCATTGGATGAAACATCATTATCCCTCAATCCAACAAATACCCCAAAATAAATCAAATCATTCCAAGCTTAGCTGAAAAACAGTCACATTATTTGCTTCTTCGTTCTCAATTCCACAACATGTCAAATCTTTGTACACTCAGCCTTCTTAAATCAACCAAGATCTAAATGTTATTTTTAAAATTTTATTATGCTTCTCCTAGATTTTCATTTTTCCTTAGCTAATTTCCATGCTTTATTGAACATTTTAAAGAACTATTTTTTTAGAAGGATACAGCAAAGAAGAAAAACCAAACATAATTAAAGACTAAATAATGGATAACTATACTTTTTCTAACATTAATGGTTCAATTAAACAAACTGCAAGAAACTTTCTTCCACATGTTTCAGTTTTAGATACAATAATACTAAGTTTATGAATGAAGAAAAAGCCTGTTCCGTAATTTTCTTTTAAGAAACAATTCTAAGTTTTCTTTTTAGAGAACTGTATGTGAAACTTCGTTAAACTAGTATTTTAAGAAAACTGTAGATTCATATTCTATTGTAAGAAATAACACAAAGAGATTCGGGTGTACCCTTTACCCAGTCTCCCCCAATGGGACACCTTGCAAAATAGCAGCACAGAATCACAGCCAGGGTATGGACAGTGACACAGTCAAAACAGGGAACGACTCCAGCACCCAGGACCCTCCTGCTACCCTTTTACAACCACAGCCACTTCCCTCTTGCCTGCCCTTCACCCCTAACTCCTGTCAGCCACTAATCTGTTCTGTTTCTGTATTACTGGCATTTCAAGACCATTATACAAACAGAATCATGCAGTAAACACAAATGCAGTCCCTTATGATCCTTTTGACAACTGCAGGATCTGCAGTGTAGCTTGTTTTATTCCTGATTTGGTAATTTGTGTCTTCTCTCCTTTTTCCTTTGTCAGTCTCTTTAGAGTTTTGTTGATTTTACCAGTATTTGTAAACAACCAGCTTTTGGAGTCACTGATTTTTTCACTACTGGTTTCCTTCTCCTTTTTTGGGTTTATTTTGCTCCTTTTCTAAATCCTTGTGACGGCAGCTCAGATCATCGCTTGGAGTCTCGTTCTCTTTTTAAACATAAGTATTCAATGCAATAAATTTCCCTCTCACACAGCTTTGGCTGTTTCCACAAATTCTGGTATGTGATATTTTCACTTTCTTTCAATTCAGCATATTTTCAATTTCTCTTGCGACCCCTCCTGGAACGATGTATAACACAGACGTATACTACTTGGTCTCCAAGTACTTGGAGATTTTCCTGTTATCTTTCTGTTACTGATTTCTAATCTGACTCCACTGCGGTCAGAAAAAACATTATGTATGAAAAAACTCAATCCTTTTACATTTGTTGAGGTTGTTTTATGACTCAGGATATAGTTCATCTTTGTACATGTTCCACGGGCACTTGGAAAAAGTGTGTGTCCTGTTACTGGGAGGCGTGTCCCACAAACATCCGAAGATTCTGCTTGCTGATGATAGTTCTGTGTTCTCCTACATGCGTGCTGATCCTGTCCAGCTTTTCTTTCAAATATTGAGAGAGGGGTGTTGAAGCCTCCGACTACGACTGTGCGTTCGTCTGTTTCTCCTTTCGGTTCTGTCTGTGTTGAGCTCACATGCTTGCAGCTCTCTCGTCTGGCACATCCACATTTGTCTCTTTGGTGGATTCACCTTGTACCCCTGTGTAATGTTCCTGTCTGTCTGACAATTTTCTTTGCTCTGATACAGTCACTCTTACTTTCTTTTGATTAATTTTTCATGACACATCTTTTATCATCCTTCTACTTTCAACGTATCTACAGCATTACATTTTTAAGTGAGTTTCCTATAGAGAGCATATAGTTAGGCCAAGTTTTTAAAACTCACCCTGTCAATCTCTGTCTTTTACTTGATGTATCTGGATTATTTACCTTCATGAATTTACTGTTTAACGCTATGATTTAAGTCTACCATTTTACTTGTTTTCTGTTTGTTCTCTCTGATTTATTTTTCACAATGCACTGTGAGTTCCTTGAACTGTTTTTAGGATTCCATTTTGAATTATCCATGGTATTTTCAGTGGACCTCTTTGCACAGCTGTTTCAGCGGTTGCCCTGGATATTACATATACTTAATTTTCATCTCAGTCTACTGGTATCAACATTTTACCAGTTTAAATGAAGTATAGAAACAGTAGCTTCCTTTATGTCCCTTATTCTCCATTTAAAACACAGTTGCCTTACATATTTGCTATGCATACATTTAGAACACATCAGACAGTTACTATTTTTGCTTTATTCACCAAACAGAATTTAGAAAACTCAAGAGGAGAAGGAAATTGCATTACGTACAGTCGTATTTTATACTTTGTGTTGTCCTTTCTTCCTTCGTGATTTTCAGAATGTTCTTCTTTTGTCATTTTCTTTCTATTTAAAGAACTTCCTTCAGGCATTCTTTCGGAGTGATCAAATTCTGGTAGCTTCCCTTCATTTGAGAAAGTGCTGGTGTCCCCGTCATTCGTGAAGGGCATTTTCACTGCATGTGGAATGCAGGCTGGACAGGGCCTTCCCTTCAGCACCTGAAGGGCGCTGTGCCGCCTCCTTCTGGCTTCCGTCTTTCTGAGGAGAACCCTTGTCACTCACGTTGTCTTTCCTGCATGGGTGTCATTTCTGTCTCAGTGATTTCAAGACTTCTTTCTGTATCTTTAGGTTTCACAAGTTTGACTGTGATACGTCTTGATTTAGATTTTGAGGGTATCCTGTTCAGGGTTTACTCAGTTTTTAGAATCTCTTTCTTTACATCTTTTGTCAAAATTCAAAGGTTTTCAACCATTATTTTTTCAGTTCACTCCCTCTCCTATCCCTCTGGAAATCCAAGGCCACGAATGTTAGCTCTTTTGCTGTATTTGCACTGGTCCCTGAGGCACTTTTTGTTTCACTCTGTTTTCTGTTTTTCAGGCTGGGTAATTTCTACTGTTCTTTCTTCATTTCTGTGATTCTCTTCTCTGTCCCCACCATTCTGCTGTTAAATCCATCCATGGGAGGTTTTTATTCCGAATACCGTATTTTCAGTTCTAAAATCTCCATCTGGTTCTTCTTTATGTCATAGACAGATAGATAGTTTTGTTTTGCTGCAACTCTCTCTCTCTCTGTCTTTTTTTGTCATCTCAGAGTTGGCATCTTTTGGTTACCTGGACATTCTTGATATTATGTTATGAGACTTTGGTTCTTATTTAAACTTCTGGCTTCTTCTGACACCACCAAGCCAGAGAGGGGCTCGGGGGCCTCCTTACCGCCAGGTGGAGTGGAAGTCCATTTCTCCACCTGGTGTCTGTGGAGGAGAGAGAAGACCTTGTTCCTGCTGGGAGAAGCTGGGAGATCCAGTTCCCCACAGGACGTGAACTCAAATACAGCCCTGATTGGGAAGGGTAAGAGTGCCTTGGTACTTACCCCCCACCCTGGCCTCTACTGACACTTTGGAGGCGGTAGGCCTCATTCGCACCAGTGGGGACAGAGCCCCAGCTCCCGCCAGTCCCAGCCTGGTCAGAGGAGAGGTCTAAAAGCTCCCCACTCAGTGTCTGTTGGTTTGAGAAGGGAGCAGGACACAGGGTTACTGTGGTGTTGGTTGGAGTCCTATGGTCAGTACCTAAAAGTTTTGTCTTGCTAGAAAAACAGACAGCTCTTCCCCTCCTTTGGCTGGACGGAGAAGGCGCTTGGAGAGCTTTTCTTGTCTATGCCCATTGGCATTTCTGGCGTTTCTGGGTTGCCGGCTTTGTTAGCTCCAAGTCTGCGACAGATGAGGCAAAAGGAAAACCCAGGGACACCACCGCGTCATCCTTCGGGTGCTGAGTCCCGCAGCCGGTCTGTCTTCTCTCTATCTTTCAGTCTTCTGCTGTTGTCTTTTATGTAATGTCCCGGGTTACAGGTGGACTTAGAAGGAACAACAGGAAAGGCACATGTACTCCACCTTTCCAGAAGCAGAAGTCTCCCAAGGGCAGTTTAACAAATGGAGTTCACCTGGGAGAGGCTGGACTTACTCTCTGCTCAATAAATGTTTGTATCAGTAAACAAAATTCCATGTCCCTTCCCTCAAAGCAATTACACTCTGGTGAGAAAAAAATAAATTCTGCAATTAGTTCCTAAATGCTTTCATTCAGAGGCATCTTGGATACGGAGGGAAGGCACAGTCAGATACTGAAGACGAGCTCTGTCAGTCACACCTCTGATACCACAGCTGCATTTGATGGTCCCCCCACAAGAGACCCATCCCGGAGCAGGTGCCAGAAAGCTCACTGTCCTGGACTTGCTCATGCTTGGGTTTAGGCATACGCTTTTGGTTTTGCCGCACCCTAGGGAGACCTGGGTTTGGAGACGAGCAATCAGAGAAGAACCACAAACAGGTGATAATTATTCCTGCAAGACTGCTGGCAGTGACACTGGGTTCTTCCTAGAGGAACAAAAGGAAAAGCACCCAGCACTGAGTCCTAGGAGTCAGGGTTCCACGAGGTGGGCGGTGCTGCGCCTGCACAGACGACCCATCTGTGCTGGGATATTATTCCTATTTAAGAACCTCCGCATCTGGCCCACTGGTTTCCTCACAGAGACCAGAATACCCCGAAACCTCTTAACAAGTTGCTCGTCTGTTTAAACCAACCAAGTGGATTCTTTTGGCAAACTACAAACACTGGCTAAACGAACTTATTTAGCTAGCTTAAAGAGACCAGGAAAAAAATACACTTGCAACTTGTGCTATAATTTTGCAACGTTTGGAACCTGAATGGACCGAAACCCAAAGTGAATAGAAAGGATTTTCAGTTCGCTCCTGTACCTGTTCTTGAGGTGGTGATCGGAACTCCTTAGTCTTCCTGGCTGTGAGGGCAGCCGACATGTTTAAGGCTTGCATGACCTCGTTATAGCGGAACCGCTGGTTGTCCTGGAGCTTGGCTACAAAGTCATCAGAAAAGGCCACAATGGCTTCTATCCGGTGCCGGACCTGGCAGTCACAGAGGTACTGAAGTAGGAGGCACATCTAAAAAGACAAAAAGGCATCACATTTAATTTCTGCATCTTTAACTAGTGAATGTGCATCAAATCCAAGTTCGTGGCAGACACGCTCAGTTGTCAACTCTTCCCCTTTATTAACAGAACCCTGACTTTATGAAGACAGCAGTGTGCTCAGTCCCAGGGAATGAAGCGTCATCTGTCTAAGCCAGAACGGCAAGTTCCCGCTGATGTCCCTTTGATGAGCACTTACTGTCCCAGTCTCCTCTGCAGCTACGGGCGCTTTAGAGAATGAGATGAGGAGGAGAAGTCTGCAAGGGGTCTTCTGCGAAAGAGTTTTCATCATTAATAACAGACTAGAACATCCTCTTTTCAAAATGGCTAGTGACATGATCACTAGAGGAAGAATGACGTAACATAGCTTAGTATAAAAACGATAAACTGAATATCACAGAAAGACACTAAGATCTGAGTTCCTGAAGACACTCCTGAGCTACTGTATTAATTCCAGAACTGTCTACCTCCAGACTTTGCAAGTAAGTTGATTAAGTGGTTTTCCTGCTTACTCATTAAATGGTTAGCTGGGTATTGTCTTACCAGAAGCCAAAAGGATTTTTAAGATACAGTGCATCGGTAGAAACATGCCTTCCAGAGAAGGTTCTGCCTAAGTTAGGAAAACGTTTAAATACCCTTTATACCAATGGTGCTATCAATACACAGCAGTGTTTAGGAGGACTTCAAAAGCCAGGATGTCACCACCCACAACATTGCCATTTCTGTGGGCGCCGGCTCCGAGGGAGCCCAGGGTGCACGCCTTCCTCCACCTGTTCTGTCCCACCCCAGTGTATGCAGCGGCCCCTCAGGGGGACCAGGTGACAATCTCCCGACCACGGGGGCTCTGGACCACCCCGTCATCCTTCCCTAAGCCATCTTCCTCGCAGCAGCTACACTGAGATCTTAGAACAAAATCATCCTGCTAAAATTCCTCCATGGTTTTAACTGAACTGAGAATAAAATTCAAAATTCGTCATATGGCTGGTTTTAGCAAAGACCCAGACTCTGTAAGAAGTGCCTTCTGCCCGTCTTCCACCCCGCCCCTCCAGCTGATGTGCGGAAAGGTCCTGGGACACCCCTCCCTCCTCTCCACGGGTGCAGAGCTACGCTCAGCCGCCAGACCTCGGCTTGCAGGTCTCCAGCTTGGACCCCTAACTGTATTCCAGGTGAGATTTTCTCTCTTCTAGAAACGCATTATTTGCCTTCAGTGCATTTAACGCGATTAGCAAGAAGATATTTTACTATAAATATATAAATAAGTGTCTGTTTCCGTGAGGCGGTGAGCTGCTTTCAGCTGGCACCCAGTGCCTGGTCAGAGGAAGCCCTCAACCGAGGCTGCCGGAGGAATGAAGAGGAAAATAGGCGTCAGAGACGCGAGCGTCGAAGTGATGCTGATGAACAACAGAGGCCTCGGGGCCGAGTCCCCGCTCCCTCAGGAACGGGCGCAGCCAGTACAGCCCTGCTGTGGGAGCAGGGGTCCTGAGGTGGGAGGGGGCGGAGGGGAGAGAGGCGGGGAAAGCCTTGCATTTCAAGCGTCCCAGCAAAACGTGGGTGGCATGCAGCCTCAGAAAGACGGGGAGACACCAGGAAATTGCCGGGGAACAGGAGGGCGGAGGAGGACAGCTGGCAGGACAAAACCCATCTCCTGTGCTCCTTCCAGACAGACAGACACACACACACACACAGAAACGAACAGCGCCACACACACCTGCACAGGTGCAGGACAGGCAGACATGCTCGACCAAGGAAACCACCTTGACAAAAGTATGAAATGTATCTTTCATGCACGACAGCCAATTGACTCAATTGGAAAATTCATTAATTCCATTCCCAATGCAAGAAAACTGGAGGGCATGCCCCCAAGCCCAACAGGAGCTTAGTTAATTTTATGAAGAGCGACCCTCACACAGGAGCGGAGACACACATACACAGAGAAAGAGAGCAAGGCCCATGTTAACAGGTTCTGAAATTCACTGCAAGCTTTTTGTCTGATTACCTGCAATTTAACTGGCTCGGGCAGTTTCATTTGGAGCAGACCTTCCTTGGGCCTCTTACCCCCTTTGGCTTCTTCCTCCGTGGCTCCGTCGGGCTTGGGGTCTTCGGTGCAGGACTCCCCCTCCAGCACCTCGCTCTCCTCGTCAGGGGCAGCAGCTTCCTTGAACACGCTGGGCTCGATGAGCTGCAGGACGTGCTTGAGGTCCCGGCTGTGGAAGACACCCATGATGAGCAGGGTGTAGAAGAGCTTGATGAGGGGCACGAGGAGGAACTCGGTGGTGCCCCCTACGGGGTCCCGGGCGTGTAGGCTGCCCTCTCGCACTGCCTCTGTCAGCATCTGGATGGTCTTGGCCTTGAGGACGTCCAGCGGGAACTCGGGGCTGTACTGGTAGCTCTCGTGACTGATGCTCACGAAGCTGGGGGAGGACACCTGCATCCGCGGCCTGAGCGAGGTGCTGAGGCCAATGCCCGGGAGGCCGTGCTTCTTGTTCTCGTCCGGGAACAGCGTGATGCTCTTGGTCTCCTCCGTCATGGGGACGATGAACTCGCTGTTCATCATGAGCCTGGCGGTGGCGTAGGAGCTGAGGTGGATGTCAATCAGCAGGTCGTAGTAGCCGGCGCGCAGCAGGCCGGGCATATACTTGCTCTCGATGGCGTAGAGCAGCTGCGGCTCATCCACATGGCTGCACAGGGCGTGGGCCACGCGGTGGTTCCCCAGTGCACACACCGCCGAGTACAGCCGGAGCGTGTGGTAGTGGAACTTCAGCAGGTCCTCCTGCTCGGTCAACTCCAGGATGTCCACAGACCTGGGGACGGAGACGTAGCACCGATATTTACAATAACCTCAATCGGAGGAGAAATCTATTTGCCTGGTCGACCTCAAACATTACTACACATAAAACAGATAATCAACAAGGACCTACTGTACAGCAGAGGGGACTATACCCAGTATCTTGTAATAAGCTACAATGGAAAAGAATCAGAAAAAGAATAGATCTCTCTCTATATATATGAAACTGAATCACTTTGCTGTGCACCAGAAACTAACACAACATTGTAAATCAACTACACTTCATTAAATAAATAACAAAACAAAAACACTAAAAAAAAGTTATGGAAACACTTTTTCAAATTAGTTGTATGACATGTTTAAGGATAGCACAGATTTATTTCTAAAAAAATCATCTTTAGATGTTTTGTAAACTTCCTTCCACGTAGAGTTTTATGTTGAAAATGTCCAACCACTGGTGCTTTTAAAACACTGGACCTGGGACCTGGTGCTACAGAGCTTGCATCGACACAAATGCCTCCTCCTCAAGCAACAGAACACAAAGAAACTATAAAATAAAATTAACTCTGT